TTCCTAGATCCTTGAGGAATCGCCACACTGTCTTCCACAATGGTCGAACTAATTTACACTGCCACCAACAGTGTAAAAGTGTCCCTATTTCTCCACATCCTCCCAGCATCTGTTGTCTCCAGATTTTTTAATGATTGCCATTCTACCTGGCTTGAGATGGTATCTCAGTGTGGTTTTGATTTGCATTTGTCTAATGACCAGTGATGATGAGCTTTTTTTCACATTTGTTGGCTGCATAAATGTCTTCTTTTGAGAAGTGTCTGTTCATATCCTTCACTTACTTTTTGATGGGGTTGTTTCTTTTTTTCTTGTAAAGTTGTTTAAGATCTTTGTAGATTCTGGTTATTAGCCCTTAGTCAGATGGGTAGATTGCAAAAATTTTTTCCCATTCTGTTTGTTGCTGGTTTACACTACTGATAGTTTCTTTTGCTGTGCAGAAGCTCTTAAGTTTAATTAGATCCCATTTGTCTATTTTGGCTTTTGTTGCCAATGCTTTTGGTGTTTTAGTCATGAAGTCCTTGCCTATGCCTGTGTCCTGAATGGTATTGCCTAGGTTTTCTTCTAGGATTTTTATGGTGTAAGGTCTTATGTTTAAATCTGGAATACTATGCAGCCATAAAAAAGGATGAGTTCATGTCCTTTGCAGGGACATGGATAAGGCTGGAAACCATCATTCTCAGCCAACTGACACAAGAACAGAAAACCAGACACCGCATGTTCTCACTCATAAGTAGATGTTGAACAACAAGAACACATGGGGAACATCACATACTGGGGCCTGTCAGGGGGTGGGGGAGCTAGGGGAGGGATAGAAGGGGGTTGGGGGTATTGGGGAGGGATAGCATTAGGAGAAATACCTAAGGTAGATGACAGGGGGGATGGATGCAGCAAACCACCAAGGCTTGTGTATACTTATATAACAAACCTGCACGCTCTGCACATATACCCCAAAACTTAAAGGATAATATAATTTTTTAAAAGATTAAAAAATTACAAATATAAGGTAAATGTAACATATATATCAAGGAACAGTTGTGCAAGACAATGATCAAAGTACTTTGAATCATAGGCCTTATAGTGAGACTGTGATTTCAAGTATAAGCCACAGCTAAGGCCTTGGAAACCCTAACTTTTCTAAGGCTAAATATTCTCATCAGAAAAAAACAGAAATATTAAATGTACCTATCTTTTAAAAAGCAGTTTTTGGCACCAACCTATGGATTGGCTGCACTTTTTGTTATAAGATTGAATTTATTTCTATAGCAAATACAATTATTTCTAATTCTAAGCAGTCTAGAAATTTCTATATCAATAAATACTAATGTTTTAATGACCATGCTGTGGCAAAAAAAAAAAAAATAAGCAAATATTATTTGTGCTATAAATATAGCTTTTTTTCTCTTTCTAAATAACATTTAAAAAAAAAAAAAAAAAAAGACAGGGTCTTTCTATGTTGCCCAGGCTGGAGTGCAGTAGCTATTCACAGGCACTGTTACAATGCACTACAGCTTCAGTTTCCTGGACTCAAGCAATCCTCCTGCCTCAGCCTCCTGAGTAACTGGAACTAAGGAAACGCACCATCACACCAGGCTTCCTAAGTCACATTTAAAAAAAAAAATTCATTTTGATTCAGGAATTTTGCCATACTTTGTCTTTTCCCTTGAGAACAGAAAAATTGTGTTGACATCAAGCCTGCTTATGGAACTCTGGGGCTTTCTGGTGCTAATAGATTTATTCAAGTATATGAAATGAGTAGTCTAGCACTTACTGTTGTTACTCATTTTGACTATGCATTTGTCATTCCATATTTCAGGTCTATTTGGAACCAAGAAATACAAAGTGCTTTAAATTTATGGCTAATGATAAATATTGATACATTGATCAAGACTAAAGTTTTGATTTATTATTTTTGACAGTTCTCATATTTTGTAACACTTCACTGGTTACTATGTGTATAAGTGTGATGAGTGGAAAAACCAGACTATAAATGCACACATCTGTGCCTTGACACCTTTAACTATCAGCATAAATTATATAAGCAAGATTTCCTAATTATGTATGATCTGTCATAAGATCAGAAGATTATAGGTACATGACTAAATTTTCAAGTGGCAATAAAAATTCTGACTCTATATATACTCACATATATATTTACTACATACATACACACATAGACATATTATATGAAATGTGCATCCCTGATAGAAGTATCTAATAAAACTTTGACAACTTTTCTAAATATATCACAGTTTTTATTGGGCTTAGATTTAAAGGGAGTCTGAAAGCTATTTAGTTTCTGCAGCATGCATATAGTGGACAACTGCCAGCAAAGGGCTTTATCACAGTATAAATGGGGTTTTAAGTGTTTGTTTCCAGTACAGGTTCTCGCAGCCCAGGCACTTCCCAGTCTCATTGTTCCTTTGTTCTAGCGGACGTACAAAGGATTGACTGTTTTGTTTTCTGGTTCAGAAAGATTAGATAAAGTCTGCATTTCTGAACTTCACCCTTTAGGCACGCAACGTTAAAATTTGTTTTCTATATGCCATATTTTGCAGATTAAATATGTTTAGATTCTACTGATCATAACATATTTTAAAATTTGTATCTGGTTTGATAGTACATACAGATGACAGTATTGATCCCTTTTGAACTATCACTGGAAGCAACTGTCCCTCTCATCCTTGTCCTTAAAATGCCACTTCAGCAGAAGTATGTCATCTCAGTTGGGTAGGACAGCATTGTTCTTGAGTTTCACTGGCTATGAGAGTCTCATAATCTCCTCTATATCTTGTTACTTCTCAAAACTGCCTTGGAATGTAAGTATTATTACTATACTCACCAGACAGATGGGAAAGTGGAGGCTTAGACAGGTTAAGTAACGTGCCCAAAGTTCATGACCTTGTTAGAGCTGAAATTTGAATTTAGCTCTGACTCCAGAGCCCATGCTGCCTGCCATTATATTTTACTGCTTCTGTGGCAGTATTTTCACCTAATAATAGGTTATATAATAATAGCAGCTAACTTTCAGCACTTACTACATGCCAGACACAGTTCTAAGTACTTTTTATTCAATTTAATCTTCGTAACAATTCTACTAAAAAGATATCATAAAGATTGCATAAATGAGGAAACTGAGGCACAGGGAGGTTAAAGAATTGCCCAAAGTACACAGCTACAAATAGGAGAGCCCAATTCAAGCCCCCAGGCCATCAAACTCTAGAGCATACGTTTTTCAGGTTAACCAAAAGGCTGTGTGCTATGGTGTGAGCCATGCAGCCTTGTCTTCCAAGCTCACCTGTGTTTCAGGCACTCTATGAATTTTTGTCTTAGCTACTGCTGCTTCAGTTTGTGTGTCAGCTAGCATTTATGGTGTTATTATTGATGTTATAAATGTGGCACATATAATTTTTGCAGTATGATATACTTACATAAATCATAGCATAATACATAGAAACATTAGATTTCATAGGCTGTATTAAGCCTTTGGTGTCTATTGGTCAGCCATACATAGTCTTATGAGTTGTCTGTCCACAGCTGCCTTTTGAATATAGAGTAAGGCTATCTTATGTTATTTTTATATGTTGATTACAAGTGAACATCTTCTTAAAACATATAAGAAGGTTATATCTTCTAATAAGGTCTAGGATTCCTGGTGTTACATTGTGAGCAAAATACAGTCTACCAGGAGGTAGTGAAGTTTCTATAGCCATGCCATTATAATATCTGGCCTGATCCTTAAATATTGTTCTCCAATATCTTGATCCCACTTTCTAGACCAAGAACCATGTTGGATTTCTGAAAATTTCTAATAAAGATGTCTCTCAGCAGTTCTACTCTCAGCATTCAGGGTAGGGGCACCCCCTTATTTCTTGGGTTTTACTCCCTACTATACCAAAAGAATGGCTGCTCACTAAATTTCATTGACCTAGTTCCTAACCCAGATATGCTTCTTATTCTTTTCAAATTCAGTGGTGGAGATTCAACACAGGCAAAGCAGGACTCCTCAAACTGATCCTTGGCTTTGAGAGCTGAAATAAGGTGAACAGCTGGGTGTAAGATTTTCTCATTCCCACTTACTCTGGGTGCTCTGGCAACACCAAAGTGCCCCTAAATTGAGATTTTAAAAATCTAGTAATATAGGGGGCCAGGCTGGGTAGCTCATGCCTGTAATCCCAGCACTTTGGGAGGCCAAGGCGGGCAGATCACCTGAGGTCAGGAGTTCGAGACCAGCCTGGCAAACATGGTAAAACCCTGTCTCTACTAAAAATTTAAAAAAAAAAAAAAATAGCCAGACATGGTGGCTTGCACCTGTAATCCCAGCTACTTGGGAGACTGAGGTAGGAGAAATGCTTGAACCTGGGAGGCAGAGGTTGCAGTGAGCCAAGATCACGCCACTGCACTCCAGGCTGGGCGACAGAGTGAGACTCTGTCTCAAAAAAAAAAAAAAAAAAAAGAGAGAGAGAGAAGAAAATCTAGAGATATAGGGAATTTCAACTACCAGGAGAATCTATTTTGGTAAGCAAACCTATCTTAGGTTTATAATCAGATCTGTATCTTTTGTGGTTGTCTAATATCTAAAAGCCACCCAAAGTTAAGTATACTAGACACCAACAGTCCACAATCTAGGAAGAAGTTCAATGTATGTTTCAAATTATTTCTTAATATTTGTATTTTCTGTTAAGATCTTCAGTATTTATCCAGGCATAACCTGGATGTTTGTTAATGTTTGAAAAATTTGCTAAACTATAAGCCAAAGAAAATATAACTTTGCTGGGACTTTCAAGATCAGAGTGAAAGGGTAGGTTTGGAAGTGAAGAAAAATGCCAATTTATTTCACAAAGAACAGATTAATTTTTTAAGAAAAATGAATCTGGACTGCAGTAAAATAAGCAGTTATTTGCAAAAGTCCTCAAACCATGTTTCTTTTTCTTTTTCTTTCTTTCTTTCTTTTTTTTTTTTTTTTTTTTTTTTTGTTGTTGTTGTTGTTATTTGCCTTGCAGATCCTTTACCACCTGCTAGGTTTGGAATCAGTAAAGAGAAGACTACTTCAACCAGCTTGCATGTTTGGTGGACACCTTCTTCCGGAAAAGTCACCTGGTATGAGGTGCAATTATTTGATGAAAATAACCAAGAAATACAGGGGGTTCAAATTCAAGAAAGTACGTCATGGAATGAATACACTTTTTTCAATCTCACTGCTGGTAGTAAATACAATATTACCATCACAGCTATTTCCGGAGAAAAACGTTCTTCTTCAGTTTATACCAGTGGATCAACAGGTGAGATCTGTTTATTTATGGCTGAGTAGTTAACAGTCTATGATACTTTTCAAGTTATACTTTATTCAAGAAATAAGAGTAAGATTGCTACTCCAGAACAAAATTAATTAATTAGCAATTAGTTAACTTTTTTTTTTCTTTTTTGAGATGCAGTCTCTTACTGTCGCCTGGGCTGGAGTGCAGTGGCGCCATCTCAGCTGTCTGCAGCCTGCACCTTTCAGGTTCAAGCAATTCTCCTGCATCTGCCTTCCAAGTAGCTGGGATTACAGGCACCCCACCGCCACCACCACGCCCAGCTAATTTTTGTATTTTTAATAGTGACAGGGTTTCACCATGTTGGCCAGGCTGGTCTCAAACTCCTGACCTTGTGATTTACCCGCCTTGGCCTCCCAAAGTGCTGGGATTACAGATATCAGCCACTGTGCCTGACCAATTAGTTAACTTTTTAAAAGGAGCTTGTGCAGTACAGTGGACAGACTGGACTGAAAATAAGATAGGTGGCTATGCTGCTCACTTGCTTAGCAGTTTTGAAGAAGTTATGGGACTTCTCTGGAATTGAAGTTTTCTCCAATTTGGAATAGATACCCCCTAATGGCCCTTCTAACTCACATCTAAAGCAACAAAAACTTTCTGTCCCATTTTCGTAGTTTGTGCCATAAAACTTTTTTTTTAAATGTTTTTCTTCTTTGTATACTCTTCTCATAACATCAAGACATAATGTTTCCTAAGTATTTCCATGTTTGAAACAAGTATTTGTTTTCTCGATATGGTGAAAAATAAGTCATCTATGCACCCACATATTATGATATACATGGCACATTACTACCTCCTTCCATAAAGTACATGTCTTTCATGTCATTTACTCTCCCCTCATTTTCTCTCTTCTTTTTATTATTTTTTTTTAATTATACTTTAAGTTCTGGGGTACATGTGCAGAACGTGCAGGTTTGTTACATAGGTATGCACATGCCATGGTGGTTTGCTGCACTCATCAACCCATCATCTACATTAGGTATTTCTCCTAATGCTATCCCTCCCCAACCCCCACCCCCCAACAGGCCCCAGTGTATGATGTTCCCTTCCCTGTGTCCACGTGTTCTCCTTGTTCAACCCCAATTTATGAGTGAGAACGTGCTGTGTTTGGTTTTCTGTTCCTGTGTTAGTTTGCTGAGAATGGTGGTTTTCAGCTTCATCCATGTTCCAAAGGACATGAACTCATCCTTTTTTATGGCTGCATAGTATTCCATGGTATATATGTGGCACATTCTCTCTCTCTTTTTTAAATCTCTCTCTCCATTTTTCATCTTCTATAATTCTTTCCTTTCTCTCTTCCGCTTACTGCTGTGCAATGTTATATACGTCACTGGCAGAAACTATGTTAATACCTATTAAGTGGGGGAGGTAGACAAGTAAATATGATGTAATTTGAGGCTACAGACTTTGAAAAGAGCACTAATCAAAGTTCCAGTGGAATTTCCAGTATCCTGGTATTTATGAATGCTATTACCATGTTAAGATGTACAGAGAAACATAAATGAATGTGTAACTTCTAATTAAATGTGTCTATGTCTCCTATAATGGAATTATAAATGACATTTTTGACATGCATTTTATCCCACTAGTGCCATCTCCAGTGAAAGATATTGGTATTTCCACAAGAGACAATTCTCTCCTGATTTCCTGGTCCCATGGTTCTGGGAATGTGGAACGATACCGGCTGATGCTAACGGATAAAGGGATCCTAGTTCAAGGCGGTGTTGTGGACAAACATGCTACTTCCTATGCTTTTCATGGGCTGACACCTGGCTACATCTACAACCTCACTGTTGTGACTGAAGCTGCAGGGCTGCAAAACTACAGGTGGAAAGTAATCAGGACAGGTAAGCTTCCCCTAGCTAGCTGAAGAAGAATAAAGCTCAAATCGAGGAAATGTTTAATAAATCAAGCTTACTATTTGAGTAACAGTAATGTAGGACAAGTTGAAATTCTTATAAGGCATAGAAGACCTATACCCACTTTTCTACTCAGAAAAAGAAGGATTCTCTTTTATTCTAAAGTTTAGGCTAGTCCTTGGCAACATTTTGAAGTAAGCAAAGTTAAGTACTGACATGGACCTAGCTTCTCTTCTTCTCTTTTTAATACTCCATCTTTTTGCTAACGATTCCTACTTCCTTTTCTTAACCAGGCATCCACTGTCTTTATGACATCACTCACAGTGAACCAGAATTACCTTCTTCATGCTATACATAGCCCTACTCCCATGTGACAATCATTTCCAAAACTTGCTAACCACATGACCTGGGTCCCAATACCATAGGACCAATTCCCACAGCCTACCCTAGACTAATAAATGAATCTATGCTAAATATCAATGAATAGTTTATACAAACTTTGATTCATTCAGCAAATAATTATTGAATGTAAGCTAGATGCTGGACATTGCCGATATAACATCCAAGAGAGACAAAGTCTTTGCCCTCACGGAGCTTACATTTTATTAGCGTCTAATGCCTCTAGCAAGTCTAACGTGTAAATTAAATCTCCTCTCTTGGTAAGTTATCTAATTGTAAGAGAAACTCTAATATATGTAGTGCCTTAGATATTAGTTTCTGGAACTATAGGAGGCTGGTGGGAAAGATATTTGAGGACACCAGCACATTTGCATAGTTTTATAGCACACCTCACATATATGTAGATATTCCTGGCCAAAAATGTTCTATATATCTCAAAAGTTATTTATGTACATCAAGAGCAAATTGCATTCCTAACTGCCTTATGCAAAATCAGAGTGCTATGCCCATTCTTTTCTCTATTTTTTTTTTTTTTTTTTGAGACAGAGTTTCACTCTTGTTGCCCAGGCTATGGCATGATCTTGGCTCACTGCAACCTTGATCTCCCAGGTTCAAGCAATTCTCTCACCTCAGTCTCCTGAGTAGTTGGGATTACAGGCACCCGCCACCATGTCTAGCTAATTTTGGGGGTTTTGTTTGTTTGTTTGTTTGTTTGTTTGTTTTTGAGACAGAGTTTCGCTCCTGTTACCCAGGCTGGAGTGCAATGGTGCGATCTCAGCGCACTGCAACCTCCACCTCCTGGGTTCAGGCAGTTCTCCTGCCTCAGCCTCCTGAGTAGCTGGGATTACAGGCACGCGCCACCATGCCCAGCTAATTTTTTGTATTTTTAGTAGAGACGGGGTTTCACCATGTTGACCAGGATGGTCTCGATCTCCTGACCTCGTGATCCACCCCCCTCGGCCTCCCAAAGTGCTTGTATTACAGGCGTGAGCCACCGCGCCTGGCCCTAATTTTTGTATTTTTAGTAGAAATGGGGTTTCACCATGTTGACCAAGATTGTCTTGAACTCCTGACCTCAGGTGATCCACCTGCCTCAGCTTCCCAAAGTGTTGGGATTACAGGCATGAGCCACTGCTCCCAGACGCCCATTCTTTTAAGGAAGTTTCATTAATTTATATTCTAGAAAAAGTATTTACCAAAGGTTATCTCCCTTTTAATCGTTTTGCTTTGATGAAGTAGTAATACAACTCATTAACTTGATCATGATTTAATATAAAAATTAAAGTATTTTTAATCACATAAAATTCTATAATCACCAATCAATTGATCAATCTATTATGTACCCAATTTTATTAAATATTAATATATAAAAACAAAAAGAAGTGAGGCAGATGACAGACCTTTTTGTGCCTTCCACTTAAAGAATTTCTGAACTGGAAAGGACCATTGTAGGTCTTTGACCTAGCCTTATTTGCAACTAAGAAACACTACAAGGCTCAGTGAGCTAGAAAGAGCTGTCCAGAGTTTCCCAGCTGACCAAAATGGCCCAGTCCGAACCAGAATCCAAGCTTCTGCTTGCCAGGATTTGGGCCTTGCCACATGGCTTACCTTGGGTTCTACAGCATTATTTTTGACTCTTTTTAAATTTTTTTTATTTTTATTTTTATTTTACCATCTGAAGAGGATACTTCTTCCCTTTCAAAGTACTTGTTTTCTCCAGAACAAGGAGTGTGGCTTGCAGAAATAAAAATACAGATCAAAATTTGGCCATAGTACTGGTGAGATATTCTGAGTAAAAGTCTCTTTTCTGTTCGTTTCTAATTAGCCCCCATGGAAGTCTCAAATCTGAAGGTGACAAATGATGGCAGTTTGACCTCTCTAAAAGTCAAGTGGCAAAGACCTCCTGGAAACGTGGATTCCTACAACATCACCCTGTCTCACAAAGGGATCATCAAGCAATCCAGAGTATTAGCACCTCGGGTTACTGAAACTCACTTTAAAGAGTTAACCCCCGGACGACTTTATCAAGTTACTGTCAGCTGTGTCTCTGGTGAACTGTCTGCTCAGAAGATGGCACTGGGCAGAACATGTGAGTCTTGGGCACCAGAATGTTGCTTTTGCTTGGTTGCTCTAATCACTCTCTGATCCACCTTAGAATAGGACAAAATAAGTTAGCAGGAAAACTCCTATCCCAATCTGAGAAGTGGAGCCTATGTAACTGAAGGTGTCTGGGTTATGGCCCATTTATCTGAGTCACTCAAGCAAATGAGTTTGGATTTCTGAATGATCTGCGTATTGTTTCTGTCTTATGCTTTTTCATGTCACATCACTTAAGTAGCATAAATGCATTAGCATTGATACCAGCATATAAAACATTTCTGATTCATTCTTACAGTGAGAACCAGTTAGCATTTAACCATGTTTTCCATACATTATTTTATTAATTTATGTCCTCAAACACTTATGTATCCAGTGCCTTATATGTGTGAGTTACTGTACTGTAAGCTTTGGGCATTGTTAAAATGAATAAGGCATGCTACTTGCCTTTAAGGCAGGATTCAGCAAACTACCCCATCTGGTGCCAAATCTGGTCTGTGGCCTGATTTTGTTTAGCCCTCAAGCTAAGAGAGTTTTTTACATGTTTAAAGAGTTGTACAAATAAACAAGAAAAAGATGAGACAGAGACCATATGTGTCCTGCAAAACTTGAAATATTTAGTACCTGATCCTTACAGAAAAAAATTGCCTAACTCTCGCTTTAGAAAAGTTCCATTTTAATCACTGATGTAGAATACACATGTGTACAAAGATAAAAATAATACATTTCAATAATAGTGACTGTATTGCTATTTCCATGTATCAGGCACTGACTAAAGAATTTACACCCATTATTTCATTTAGTTGTCACAACAAAACTGTGAGAGATTTCCTGCTATTATCACCATTATACAGATAATTCAAAGAGGTCAAATAATTTATCCATAGTCATCCAGCCAGTAAGTGGTGGAGCTAGAATTTAAACCAGGCTGTTTGATTCCAGAGTCCATTCTCTCTGCTGTTAGAGATCTGAAGTAAGAGCTACATGGTCAAAAAGGAAAGAGAACAAAATTCTCTTTCATAAGAGGAGTAAAAACTTGGAGGAAATGGGAGCAGGACATGGTAATTCACACCTATAATCCCAGCACTTTGGGAGGCCAAGGTGGTGAATCACTTGAGCCGAGGAATTTGAGACCAGCCTGGGCAACATGGTAAGACCTTGTTTCTAGAAAAAAAAAAAAAAAAATTAATTAGCTGGGCTTGGTGACACATGCCTGTGGTCGTAGCTACTCAGGAGGCTGAGCTGGGAGGATTGGTTGAGCCATGATTACACCACTGCACTCCAACAGAGTGTGACCCTGTCTCAAAAAAAAAAAAAAAAAAAAAACTTGGAGGAAATGGAAATGGTCTTTAATCAGGACCTAAAAAATGTAAAGTTCATGACAAATAAGGAGGGAAAAGAGGGAAGAGCTTTTGGGGTGAAGGGAACAATATAAACAAAGGCCCAGAGGCAGAAGAGCCCAGACTTGCCGGTAAAGCCAGTTTCCCAAGAGTAGGAAAGGAACGAGGGTGGCAGCAGAAAGCAGTCTGAGTTAAGACTGAAAAGATTTGGGGTCTGAACTTGAAGAGCTAAAAATGTAAGCAGAGGACTTGACATTTTATTCTGTAGATCATAGGGTGACCTTGAATGTTTTTAAGAAAAAAAAAAAATAGAGGTTAATCTTGTAAGAACATTAATTTTTTTAGCTGGAAAAGAAAAGAGAGGAATCCCTCATGATTATGTCATCCAATATCTCTTCCAAAGGATGCCACATATTACTAGATTATTAACAATGTAACAGAAGATTACATTGCTGATATTTCTAAAATGATTTTAGCAGACATTTCTTGTCAAATGTCTCTGAAATGAAAAACACTCTTTTGCAATCCACAGACATCAAGATGGGATAGAAGTGTTTTGAACTGCAGGTATTGTGTCTCCTATCTACTGCTGCCCAAGAAAAGTAAATAAGTATCCTTACTTCTGGTTTGTAATATCTCCTTTTTGATATCATTTCATCATTTAGTTCCAGACAAAGTTGCAAACCTGGAGGCAAACAGTAATGGCTGGATGAGGTCTCTTGCAGTGAGCTGGTCGCCCCCTACTGGAGACTGGGAGCAGTATCGGATCCTACTCTTCAATGATTCTGTGGTGCTGCTCAACGTCACTGTGGGAAAGGAAGAAACACACTATGTCATGGATGACATTGGGCTTATACCGGGAAGACAGTATGAGGTGGAAGTCACTGTTGAGAGCGGAAATTTGAAGAATTCAGAGCGTTGCCAAGGCAGGACAGGTAGGCAAATGTGAAGATGTTAATACTAATAAAAGCATAATTTGTTCCCTCTCCCAAGTAACCCACATAACTGCCAATATCATAACCTGGTGTTCACTAAATTTGAAATATTAAGGACTTTAAGACTAACATGGGGTTTCTATCACCTAATTTGTCAAATTAGAACATTAAAAGTCACTTGCACTAGTAACTCCATTATTTCATGAAAGAAAGCCATTTTAAACACCAAAAGAGTAGGATAGATACAGTCTGAAAATAAGGACGAATCCTTCCCACAAAAGAAGAACATTTTGCTAGTGATCGGCATTACAGAACCATTGCCTTGGCCTCATGTTGACTCATGTGGGGATTTCAGGTACCAAGGAAGAGTGATTAAAATGGAGAGGGATGTATTTGGATTTTAGGGAAGGGAAGAATGAAGATACTGGAATGAGAAAACAGGTTCAAAGAGGTTATGACTTGCCAAAAGCATTGCAATACAATCGTGACAGTAAGAGTACCAAGACTCATGTTTCAGTATCCTCATACTGTCAAATACTTGTACTCATATTGTCAAATAACAGAGTTGCACTTCCAAGTTCAATATTTTTTTGGTAATCTTTGTAATGTGAAATACTCCATACTTAGAGTAAAATTCAAATACCTTCTTTCTTAGTTTGCCTGATAATAAGGAAATAACTACATGGATTCAATGTTCTTCTTAGAAGAATATCAAAGAAAAGGATCATGACACCCACTTAGCTTGCCAACTGTGTCTTGCAGTAATCTCCTCATCTTCCAAATATTGATATCCACTGGATGATGATCAAAGACCTACAGCAGCTTAAACTAAGGCTACTTTTAGTATTTCACAGGAAAAGCATCTGTGTCGTCTCCAGTATTTTATCACTCATCTCAAATAACTTGGAAATGTAAGATGAACATTAGAGGCTCTCAGTATGTCAGCATAATTCTCAGGAGAACTTTTATTTTATTTTTATTTTTTATTTTTATTTTTTGAGACAGATTCTTACTCTGTCTCCCTGGCCTAGGCTGGAGTGCAGTGGTACAATCTCGACTCACTGCAGCCTCTGCCTTCCAGGTTCAAGCAATTTTCATGCCTCAGCCTCCCAAGTATCTGGGATTACAGGCAAGTGCCACCATGCTCAGCTAATTATTTTATTTTTAGTAGTGATGGGGGTTTACCATGTTGGCCAGGCTGGTCTCAAACTCCTAGCCCCAAGAAATCCACCCACTTTGGTCTCCCAAAGTGCTAGGATCACAGGCATGAGCCACTACGCCAGGCCAAACTTTTCTTTTTCTTTTCTCTCTTTTATTTTGTTTGAGACAGAGTTGCTCTTGTTGCCCAGATTGGAGTGCAATGGCACAATCTTGGCTCACTACAGCCTCTACCTCCCAGGTTCAAGTGATTATTCTATCTCAGCCTCCCAAGCAGCTAGGATCACATGCATGTGCCTGACTAATTTTGTATTTTTAGTAGAGTTGGGTTTTCACCATATTGACCAGGCTGGTCTCAAACTCCTGACCTCAGGTGATCCACCCGCTTTGACCTCCCAAAGTGCTGAGATTACTGGCGTGAACCACTGCACCTGGACCAAACCTTTCTTAAACTGTACCTCCAGTTTACCTTATTCAGGTAGCCTGAAGTAGCCCTCAATGTAAATAATTAAATTATTTCTCTATACTGAAGAAGGAAGATGCAGAGTTAGGGACTCAATTAGGGTGGATATTTAGAAAATTTATGGATGCAAAATTTACAATAAAATTTTTCATACTTGATTCTTTCATAATTTAAGGCACCAAGAGTTTATTTATTTGTTTATTTATTTGAGATGGAATCTAGCTGTGTAGCCAAGGCTGGTGTGCAGTGACACAATCTCAACTCACTGCAGCCTCCACCTCCCAGGTTCAAGCAATTCTCATGCCTCAGCCTCCCAAGTAGTTGGGACTACAGGAGCAAGCCACAATGCCTGGCTAATTTTTATATTCTTAGAAGAGATGGGGTTTTGCCGTATTGGCCAGGGTGGTCTCGAACTCCTGACCTCAAGGGATCCACCCGTCTTGGCCTCCCAAAGTGCTGAGATTACAGGCATGAGCCACTGTGCCCAACCAACACTTTATTCATAACAATGTCTCCTAGAAATTGTAATATTAAAACCTTTTAAAGGAATCAGTTTTGATTCTTTGTATAAGACAAGTCCTCAATTTGATGTTATTGTTATTTGCCAGCCAACTCTCCCTTCCTTGAACACATCGGTGTCCCGCACCTCAGAAATGAGGGAAAGTTGCACTTGGTCTCCCCGACCTATGGGGATAACAGATACTCCTAACTCCACCTAAATACTCAAACAGGAACTTAGTGATTTTTTGAATGACAAGATTGGAATAAATACTTTTGTATTACAGAATTCATATAAAAAGATAAACTCTAATAAAGTATTAGGTAGTCAAAAATCAATGACTCTTCTAGCAAAACGTTTTCCAATCGAGTCTTTATTTCTGGTAACGTTACGTTAACAAAGTTTTTGTGGTAAGATTTTGTTTTAATGCTCAGAGGCATTCATTTAAAAAATGTTGAACTGAAACACTCTTAAGGGGGTAAGAGAAGAGCTCTCAAAAGTGTACCCTATGAATGTGTCTGTCTATCAATAACCCAAGTTTCCATTGCTTTTTCCTCAGTCCCCCTGGCTGTCTTCCAGCTTCGTGTCAAACATGCCAATGAAACCTCACTGAGCATCATGTGGCAGACCCCTGTAGCAGAATGGGAGAAATACATCATCTCCCTAGCCGACAGAGACCTCTTACTCATCCACAAGTCACTCTCCAAAGATGCCAAAGAATTCACTTTTACTGACTTGGTGCCTGGACGAAAATACATGGCTACGGTCACCAGTATTAGTGGAGACTTAAAAAATTCTTCTTCAGTAAAAGGAAGAACAGGTATTAACCTTTATGAATTTTACATTTTAAAGTGTTCTGTCTGCTATTTAATTTAACACGCAATTTACAAGTATTCATTAACATATTTAAAATGTTAAAAACATGCCATTTACAAGTATTCATTAACATGCAATTTACAAGTATTCATTAAGTGCCATTTATGTGCTGGGCATTGTTTTACGGATCCTTCTATTGTGTTTGTTTTCTATTTTACCAATTTCAGTTCTTATCTTTATTAGTTCCTTCTTTTTACTTTGCTTGAATTTATTTTGCTAAACTTGAAAAAGAGTAAAGAACTACCCTTCCAAGGAGTTTTGCTGCAAAGGAGAACAGAGAAATAGGGCAGCATCTACAAGAAGAAGTATGGTTGAAAGGAGGATGATTTTTTTAAGGGTAGAAGAAATAACAGCATGTTTTATGTTGGAGGGAATGATCTGGAAGATGCAGAAGGTGAATGATGATGATATAAAGTAAGAGGGAAGAATTGCTGCAGTTATTCCATAAGTAGGCAAGAGGTATTGGGATCTAGAGCGCAAGTGAAGGAATTGGCTTTAGAAAGGAGCATGGGCAATCTAACCTCAGTGTCAGCTGGAATATTAGTCTGTTTTCACACTGCTATAAAGATACTACCCAAGACTGAGTAATTTATAAAGGAAAGAAGTTTAATGGACTCACAGTTCTACATGGCTGGGGAGGCCTCAGGAAACTTACAATCATGGTAGAAGGTGAAGGTGAAGCAGGCACCTTTTTTTTTTTTTTCTTTTTTTCTTTACCCAACCAATGGTATGGCATGCTAAGCAGGGGATGAGCATGGGGATTACAATCCAAGATGAGATTTGGGTGGGGACACAAAGCCAAGAGAATATGTGGGCACAGATGCCAATAGGTGGATAGTTGTAGGGTGAGCAGTTATCTTCTAATTGCTCTCATTTTTTCAGTGTAATTGGAAGCAAAAACATCAAGATTTCCCTTTTTAGCTGGATGCAGTGGCTCACACCTGTAATTCCAGCACTTGGGGAGGTTGAGAAGAGTTGATCTTGTGGCGGGAAATTCAAGACCAGCCTGGCCAACATGAAAAGACACTGTCTACTAAAATTACAAAAATTAGCTGGGAGTGATGGCATATACCTATAACCCCAGCTACTTCGGAGGCTGAGGCAGGAGAATCGCTTGAACCCAGGAGGTAGAGGTTGCAGTTAGCCAAGATCATGTCACTGCATGCCAGCCTGGGTGATAAAGTGAGACCCTGTCTCAAAAGCAAAAACAACAAAAAATGATTTTCTTTTTTGATGTATGTACTATTGTTCTGTATCTTATTTTTCTCTCCTTTTTTGATCCCACAAAAAACATAATTATTGCTTTATATAGTCAACATCTTTTTAGAATTACCTACCGATTTATTACCTTTTTTTTCCTCATTTTTTTCTTCCTACATCTGAGATGTTTTATCTGTGATTATTTTCCTTTATCCTGGAGAATGTTATTCAAATTTCTTCATTGACAGCTTCTAGGGACAAACTCTCTCAAATTTTGTTTTTGCTGGGCATATTTTTCTATAGCTGTCATCTTTATATAGCTCTCAGTCTTGAAAGATATTTTCCTTAAGTTCCAACTCTGTGTTTAAAGTTATTCACTCTCAGCACATAGAAGATATTATTCTACTCTTTCTTGCATTTATTGTTGTTGCTGAAAAGTCAGCTCTCAGTCTAATTTTATTTCTCTATAAGTCTGTTTGCTATGACAGCCTTTAGGACCTACTTTTTGCCTTTGGTGTTCAGAATTGTTTCACAATAGTAATCAAGGTGTAGATATATATCTTTTTGTTTCACCTGCTTAAGATTTATTGGTATTTCTGTACTTTCCAGTTTAGTGTCTTTCTATAGTCCTGGAAATTCTCAGCTATTAACTCTCCGATATTTCCTCTTGCCTTTTCTCCATCCCCCTGCCCCATTATATTCTGGTATTCTAGAACACACATATACAAACACACCAATATATTTCATATTTTCCATGTGTTTTCTCTCTTAACTACAGTATAGGTAATTTTCTCATCTTTTTGATTCATTTCATTAATTCTTTCTTCAGCTCTGTCTAATCTGTCTTAAAATCTACCTACTGTGTTTTAAATTTTAATTGTTCTTCACTTTAAGCATTCTCTTTGGCTCTCTTTCAAATTTATGTTGTGCTCTGTTGCTCTTTAGTTATATTTTCATTCCTTTCCTGCATTACTATATGCAAATTAACAATGTTTACTTTCCATCCTAGGTCTGATACTAGCTGAAATCTTCAGGAGTTAAGTCCTGTTGTCTTTTGATTTTCCTGCCTTTTTTAAATGGTACTTTATTTCTTTAAATGTATGTGATTTTTTTTTAACTATAAGCTGATTTTCCCTAGAATTTTATTCTGTGAAAACTATTTAAGGCCATGTTTGAAGGTGAGTTACAGAAAGAATTTTCTTTTCATTTGATTCTTTCAGGTGCACGAGACTACTATCAAATCAGACTTACTTCAATCTAAACTGTCAACTTGAGGTTTTTTGATCATCTGGGTTTTATAAATTCAGGTTACAAACACATTGAAACTATCTTAAGTTTATGAATTCTAAGAGGAAATCATTTTCTCCATCCAGTATTAAGAAGGCTGAGGCTGTATGGGGAGTAAAGAAGGAATATTTTTTTCACTTATACTTAGATTGTAGCCTTTCCAATGTTATGCAAGGTCACCTATGAGTTTCTTCAGCCTGGAAAAATCTACACTTTACCTCCTTTCTCCAATATCCTGCAATGCTATAAAATCAAAGCTTAAATTTGTGTTTGAAAGGTACTCTCAACACAAGTTTGCTTCATGATCCAATTATCTCTCTATCCTTTATTTTTTGGCCTTTGAGAATCACTTACATTCCTGACAAGTCATTCATTTACATTTTCATATTTTATCCAATATGCATAGTTGTATTTGTTGGAAGGATTTTCATGGTATCTAGATTATCACACTGCCAGAAATGGAAGTCCAAGGCATTGTTTTAGACCTAAGGCCATTTTTGTCATCCCCACCACCCATCTTGCTCGATCATACGGTAAAGGCATGTTTAACTGTGTAGAAAACTGCCAGACTGCTTTCCAAAGTGTTTGTAAAATTTTGCATTCCCACCAGCAATGTATGAGATTTCTACTTCCTCCACATTCTCAGCATGTAGTACATGATATTAACAGTTTATTTGTTTTAAGATTTAACCATTCTAATGGAATAGCCATTATAACAAGATAATAGTATTTCATGTGGTTTCAATTTGCCTTTTTCTTTTTTTCTTTTCTTCCTTTTTTCTTTTTTTTTCTTTCTTTTTTTTTTTTTTTTTTTTTTTTTTGAGATGAGTCTTGCTCTGTCGCCAGGCTGGAGTGCAGTGGTGTGATCTTGGCTCACTGCAACCTCCGCCTCCAGGTTTCAATTGATTCTCCTGCCTCAGCCTCTCAAGTAGCTCGGACTACAGGCGCATGCCACCACACCCAGCTAATTTTTTATTTTTAGTAAAGACAGGGTTTCATCATGTTGGCCAGAAGGTCTTGAACTCTTGACCTCATGATCCGCCCTACTCAACCTCCCAAAGTGCTGGGATTGCAGGCATGAGCCACCAGTCCAGCCTAATTTGACTTTTACTGATGTCTAATGGCTTTAAGAATCCTTTCACAAGCTTATTTGTCTTACATTTATATTCTTTGGGGAAGTTTTTGTTCAACTATTTTGCCAAGTTTAAAATAGGGTTGTTTGTCCATTGGATCTTAAATCATTTTGATTCTCTATATAAGCATCTTTTTCAAAGTAGTAGAGCCTCTCTAGAGGAGTAGTTCTCCATCTGCCACAGGAAATAGAACTGAGAGTCTATAGCAACAACACAAAAATTATTTTTAGCACTTTCAAGTCTGTCTCCATTTTTTGACTCATTTTTCTTACACTTTCTTAAGGCGACTAAGTGTCATTTGTTTTGTCTCCTGTCTACTGTTTTAGTGCCCGCCCAAGTGACTGACTTGCATGTGGCCAACCAAGGGATGACCAGTAGTCTATTTACGAACTGGACCCAGGCTCAGGGAGATGCAGATTTTTACCAGGTCTTACTGATCCATGAAAATGTGGTCATTAAAAACGAAAGCATCTCCAGTGAGACCAGCAGATACAGCTTCCACTCTCTCAAGTCCGGCAGCCTGTACTCCGTGGTGGTAACAACAGTGAGTGGAGGCATCTCTTCCCGACAAGTGGTGGTGGAGGGAAGAACAGGTAAGTGGAGCTATGTGTCTGTGACTTACTAAGATCTGAATACATAAGGCCCCAGTCAGAATATTATAGAAACATCCAAAAATCAGACTCATCCCTGGCCTTCCTAAAAGCTAAATTTCAGTGCCACTCAGTAGGTATGGAATAGAAGTTGGGAGATGGGTGATGGCAAGAGAGAATAAATTCTGAATTTTTTAACATCTCCAATAAACATGTCAGAACTCCTCACTTGATGCCTAGGCTTATCCCCTTATTCAGCTGATTTCCTTTGACATGTTTATGTCCCAGTTAAGTAAATAAGTAATGAGATAAAAAACAAAACAAACCTTCCAAAGAAAACAGCTTTTACTCTTTTCTTTTCTCAGTTTTCAAGACATAAAAGAAAATGATCTCTAATTAATATGGTCAGAAGTGGAGCTGGTCTAATTTTCAGGTCTCATATATTTTCATAAGCAACATTAATAAGTGCCTAATACTATATGCCATCTAAACAATTTTTTTTACCCTTAAGCGCTCCCTTTAGAAAGCTAAGTAAACAAATAAGTGTCATATGGTCATGTGTGTCAGGGAGCCATGGCACCAAAGGAGATAGAATTTTCTGCATAATAAAATAAAAGAACATAAAAATTAATATATATGATATATAAAATTTATGTTCCAGTTTCTTAGAAAGAAAAATAAATTACGTAAACCCAATAGAAGCTCTGATAATTATTAGTGACGGTGCCTACTTAATTTTATATAATTATTATAAGTTGAATTTCAGGCATCTCTTTCATCCTCAACACTCAGATTCTGAATATCAGCTGCAGGCATCATAGATGCATCTCTTTCCAAAATCATGAATCTCACCTACTTAATGAACCCAGAGGACATTAACTTCATTGACTCTCCCAGAAGAACAGCAAAGTTACCGAGAAGATGTTTCATAGTCTGGTAGAAATTCACTGGTGTACGCCCATTTCCCTCATTCTATGACAGCTGACACTGTCACCTGCATCTTTCTCCCTGATATTTTCTTTTCTTTCTTTTAATAGCTCTTGGCACCATCCATTGGTGTAGCATACCTGGGGGAAGGGGGCTGAAAAGCTTAGCTTGGAAATCAGGAGGCCTAGGTTTTGGTCCTAGCTCTGCCATTGACGTATCTCCCTAAGCTTCTGTGTTTTAATCCATGCACAATAATTCACCCCTACCCTGGATGTCAAAGTAGGGAAGGAGAAATAATAAGAAACTGAGGAGAGGAGTGGAGGAGGACCTTGCATTCACTTCCCAGTGGCAGTTGTATCAATCACATTAGACTGATTTAATTCCTGCTTAGACAGATATAATGTTGGTGTTCATGACTGGATGTCTCTATTGGTTGATTCTTTTCCAAGTAGCAATTCAGGAATCCAGTCTCCTGTCGGTGGCTCTTCTTTGCTGTAGGTCCTCAGAGCTCTCCTCCTTTCTCCAGAGAATGAAGATGGGGGAGGAGCACAGATCATCAGTCTTGGGAGTAGACATTTCACTTCCACCCACATTCCGCTGGCCAGAACACTTACATGGCTACATCTAACTGCCTGGGAGCCTGAGAAATGTAGTCTAGCTGCGAAATGGTTGGTGAACCATATTCTGCCACACAGGTTGATTCTCATTTTAAATACCACAAGGATTGTTCAACTTGTTGTAAGCTACTAAAATAGTCTGTGCTACCTCTTGAAATAACCGGACACTTTAAATAAGTGGAACACATAATTATTTTTGCACCTATATTTTAATTAGAATAAAGGTACAAGTATCTGACCCATGTTATATGATAGAAGCATTCAAAAAAGAGACAAGAAATTCTTTGAAGAATGGTCATCAAATTTTGAGGGAACCAAATATGAATAAATACGAGCATAAGTTATTTTACGCAAACACACAAGGAGTGCACATGATCATGATAAAGGAGGAAAATGGAAGACTCCTGTACAAAGAAGCACAGTAACAGGGATTTTGAAAGGTGCCTCTTTTAGTAAATTTCTTGCTCAGTCAGTTGTAAAGAATTCAGTAGCTAAGGCCTTGATAATCCTTATCATCTCTTCAAATTGCTGAAATATTGGTCAATACTGACATAATTTTGAAAGATATTCTTATATTTCACCTGTTTCCATAGAGTTGAAACTTGTAAATAAACCCTCCTAGCCCAGGTAAGATGGCAGAATATTTAAAATTAAAGATATTAGATATACTTAATGAATCTGATTCTTATCTGAGAAAATGCTCATCCTAAAGGAAAAACAAATTTTGTATCTATTTTTTCTTAAACATGTGAATCACATTTCTGACAAAACTTTTGATAATTGTATCCTTTCTAAAACAATGTTAGTAGTTGCAGATATTTCCAGCAGTTTTTAAAAACAAGCGTAATGAGTTGCTTTTTAGAGAAACCAAGGAATGTGTGGATGGTTGGAGGGAGGAAGGAAGGAAAGAAAAGAAAAAAGGAAGAAGGATAGAAAAGGAGGGAAGGAAGGAAAAGATGAACTAATATATAAATCTTTTGGCTAAAAGTTCAACTTTACATCTAGGAAATGTCCATATATGTACATCAGCATTAGCAGAGTTGTTCAGTAGAATGCAGTTTATAACTTTTAGTGATGGATAAGTGCTTTTAAGTATAAGGTATACTTTGGGGCTTAATTCATAACGTCAGAGCATATTACATTAGGAGGATTCTCAGAATTTGTCTAGCCAAATCCTGCCTATTATAAGTGATGTTCTGATATTGAAAAATCATATGAAACTGTTAATCAAGTAATGATGAAAACAGCACTGCAGTTCATGTATATTGTAGTATTTTACCCTATATTCATTTATGGCAGTACTATTTAATGGTACTGAATTATAATTTAATTCTGATATGTGGTTCAACTTATACTCAATACTGCAATTACTAATTTGCTGACGATACATCCAGCCAGAGAGCTTGTTGAAGAGATTCGTGCGTTTTTCATTTTTGTGTGCCTGGCAACTAGTAGGTTTTCAGTAAACATTTGTGATACTAATCTCCAATTGATATAAGCAAATGATTACAGTTGACATCAGAAAAGCCATTATTGCCATAATAGTTCTCTCTGCCCTTGGTCCAGCTTCCAGACTTCTTACTTCCAAGATAGATTTTTAAGCTGATTTCTTACCACTAGAGGGCAGGAAACACTTTGCAAAGAGAAAGCATTCCCTCTGGTTGTGTTAGCTGTTAGACTTCCCGGGAATAAATAACCTCATCGCAAGGAGATTGAAGTTATCCTAGTTTAAGGTCTTTAGAAAAGCCATCGTATTCTTCCCCTTTCTCCTCAAACATTTTTGCTTTATTGGTAAGTTTGGTTCAAGTTGGTTCATTTGGATGGTTGAAATATTTGTTCCCTTTCTTACAGGGAACCTTCTGAAATATTCTATAAAGATGCCTCCACTTGAAATGCTTTTACAAACAGCATCCCCATAAAAATGTAGTCGTGGCATCCTTATATTTACAAGGCATCCCAAAGGCCTCCTGATATTTTTATTTTGGTTAGCCTTCTGATGTAAGAGCACTCAGCTTCCAGAAGCTAAATCCTCATACTTCCTTGACCTCTTACGTAATCAGATTAAATCTCCTGAGTCCATGGTTTGTGCTGATTGCAATAGATGACTCAAACTTTTGACTGTGTTTTTCTTTTTGAATCCCCCCCACCTTTCAAAATCACAGTCCCTTCCAGTGTGAGTGGAGTAACAGTGAACAATTCCGGGCGTAATGACTACCTCAGCGTTTCCTGGCTGCCGGCGCCCGGAGATGTGGATAACTATGAGGTGACACTGTCTCATGACAGCAAGGTGGTTCAGTCCCTTGTCATCGCCAAGTCTGTCAGAGAATGTTCCTTCAGCTCCCTCACCCCAGGCCGCCTCTACACTGTGACCATAACTACAAGGAGTGGCAAGTACGAAAATCACTCCTTCAGCCAAGAGCGGACAGGTAAGGCTGTATGAAGGTTCAGTGCTCTGTAAGAACCAATTCACATGTGGCTCAGGGCACCACAGAGCTGTAACAATTATGTGATGATGGGATGAAAGGCTCTTGAGATCACGGAACTGTTATGGAGTCTTTGTATTTTAATCGAAAAAATTCCTGTGTGAGCAGACCCTTTGTGACTAGAATTTATATTATATTCAAATAGCGTAAAAAGTATTCCTGTTTATGGAGTACTTTGGGTTGCTAGGGCCTGGCTTTATAAATGTTAACTAATCCTTATGAACTCCTTATTGAGGTGGCCATTGTTATTATTCCCACTTTACAGACCAGGAAACCAAGGTTCAAGGAGGTCAGGTAACTTGCCCAACTGTTTACCTTGTTAAACAGCCAGTATGTTTCAGATTTTAAACCCAGTTCTGAATGACTCCAGTGCCTACGAAGCGCTCCATCCTAAAATCCTTCCTGAAATGTCTGTTGATCAAAACCACTGTTCATCCCTTTTCACACGAGGTGAAAATGTGAACCTTTATAGTTCTAGGGCTGGGGAGCAAAAATCGTAGCAAAGGAAATGAGTGTTCAGTCCTATGTGCTGAAAATAATTAAATTTAAATAGCTACCATTTCCCAATATAATTATGCTTCCTGGAGTTTATACCTGAGGATTTCTGCTTCAGGTTGGCATCAGTACATTGTCACATGAGTCCTACTGAGCTGTGGGTTGGTTTTGTATTTTAAAATGCTAGTTTTTCCATGAGGTTCTCCAACAATTGTCCTTGTCCTATTACCTGGCAAAGGGCCTGGGGCGTAGTCGGCACTCAGTAAATATCTGGTGAAGGAATAATAAGAAATCACTTAGATCAAGGGTTCCACATGGGAGTCCATGGTTCACGGGAGACTTTAGGAATGTAGTAACCCCTGAAATTGTTTATGAGGTTGCTGAGGAAAGAGTCAGAACCTTTGAGAAGAAAGAGTCCATGGCTTTTATCAGATTCTCATGGTTTCTGTGACCCCCAAAAAGCCAAGAACCTCTGATTTATATTGTTACAGGATGCTGGCATTGAAGGGGTCCTTGGAATGATCTAATCCTATCTCCTCATTTGGATAAAGAAAGTCCCACAGAAGGAGTGTGGCTTCTCCAAGGTTGCAGGGCTGACCAGTAGCAGAGCTCGGCCTAGCTCCAGTGCTGTGTCCATTCCATCATGCTGTATCCGAGAGCACTAGTCAGGGATACAAAGAGATTATCCCTACCCTGAAATAATTTTAAGTCCAATTACACTGACAATCATGATAATGACTTACATCTGAAAAGTAGATTTCTATTCACAAAGCAGTCTTATGTCAGGGTCTCATATTGATCACCTTAGAGCCTAAAAAATCACCAGAAATTAAAGGATGTGCTACCTAACTATCAACCCCTTGTTTCCTATCGATGTTAATTCATGATGATTTCCTATTCGTATGACTTTAATATTGCAAAGCCTTTTGCTGAGATTGCTTCTAAATGCAAGAACAGTGATTCTTTATTTGGCACATCCTCTATGCCTTAATCAGCATGAACTTGGACTTGGTGCATAACTAATGGAGGCAAATTATTGCCCCCGACAAATCGGTTTAACTGGAGAGTCATGTCTGAGTTGTTGTCTTGATGATATTGGCTGGTTATCTTAATGCCCTTTTCCATTTCTGATGCTCTTCTTCTATATTTTGGGTGAAAATACCAATAGTTCTAATTCTGTATTACGTTATCTCACTGGTAGTGAGGCAAGTCTCTACAAATTACCCCCTATTCCTCCTGGAGAGCTCCTTATTGACTTAACATGATATTCAGCCCGGTTTTTCTTCCTGTAATAGTGGCTTTGCCTTCAGCAAATTGCCTGGATCATTGACTTTTCTTAGCCCATGCATAAAATGTCACTTCATAATTTCCTCTCCTTAACTCTGTGATGACTGTATTCTAATTGGGTTTAGGTAAATATCTTGGAGAAAGCATATCTGCCCTTTCTCCATTATCTGTGGTAAGATATATTCCAAAAGCTAATCAGTAAACACAATGCAAAAAGGATGCTAATGGAACTTGTAGGTGTGAGGAGCATATGAAAAATGGAGCTTCTGTGCCGAAATACTGAAATTCCTGGATAATTTCATGATTCGAGAAAAAGTAGAGGAGAAAAATGGACACAGGGTTGGCATGTGGTCAGAGCAGAAAGCCCTTAACATATATCAAATACAGAGGGAGGCTGCACAGGCCTAGAGGACATGCTAGCATTGGGATAAGAGTTTAGTACCCTGGATCTGAGTTCATGCCTTTCTGCAGTGCTCCTGCTCAGTAATATTTATAATGTCCAGTCATAGTGAAATAGTAAAGAATCTGTGGCCTACTGTTGAATTAATATTCAGACCCAAGTGGAAAAATGAAATCTCCTTAAATGCTCTAAATACAGAATTGCCTTATTCTACAGTGTCCCTAATAACATGCATGTATTTATTTATTGGTTGGGGAGGGGACCACAGATACACGGAATGGTTTGTTTATATATTAGAACCTGACATGCACAAAACTGTATTAATTATAATTCTTGGTTCAAGAAACCATGCGTCAGTTGCCACCTTTACTTTTTAGGCATCTAATTCGTAATTTTTAATAATTTAACATATATACAAGAAACCAACCACTACCTAAAATACAAGCTAGGACCTTGACAATAGCCTTCATCAAAATATGCGGTCCCCACCTCATGAATTCACTCAAAGGTAGCCAGCATCTTGACTCCTGTGTTCATCTCTCCCTTGCTTTCCATCTTGCAAGGATTTATATACAGGCCTAAAATTATGGGTTTTTAAGGTTTTTGTCATTTTAACATTATTTTAAAAGGTATTTTTAATGCAGTATTTAATTTCTTAGGGTCTTAGATGTTTTACTTATTACATAGATAAGATTCATCCATATTTTGTGTTTTGATGTTAAGGGCAAAAAATCCACATTTTTGTGTTTTGAGTTAAGAAATTAATTATAACTATTAATTTATATTATAGTAATATAAATATATACATATTTATAACTATAATATTTCACTCTGTGTGTGTGTGTGTGTGTGTGTGTATATGTATATATTCATTATCCAGTCTCCTGTACATATTCTTCCACACTTGATTTTTATTGGGTTTTTTAATTTTGCCAGTCAAATGGATATAAAACTGTATTTCACTGTGGTTTTGACTTGCATTTCTTTGATCACCAATGATGTGGAAAATCTCTTCATTTATTATTTAATTAACCATATGTGTTTCTTCTTCCATTTTCCTTTTTCCTTTTTTTTGAAACGGAGTCTTGCCCCGTCACCCAGGCTGAAGTGCAGGAGCACGACATGGTCTCGGCTCACTGCAGCCTGCGCCTCCCGGGTTCAAGTAATTCCCCCATCTTAGCCTCCTGAGTAGCTGGAGCTACAGGTGTGCACCACCACACCCAGCTAATTTTTGTATTTTTCAGTAGAGATGGGGTTCCACCATTTTGGCCAGGCTGGTCTCGAACTGCTGACCTCAAGTGATCTGCCCACCTTGGCCTTCCAAAGTGTTAGGATTACAAGTGTGAGCCACTGCGCCTAGCCTCATTTTTCTTTTTTGGATTGTTTGTATTCTTCTTAGTAACTTTTGAGTCATCAATGTATGCTGGAATTATCAATATAATTTACCATCACTCATATTAATCATCAGCTATCATGTTTAATGTTCCATCTTATACCTGACATTTTGTGCAGGCAAACAGCAGGCTTAGAATGAGTTCATCAGCTTCATTTAAAAGATCCATTTAATCACTCCAAGTAGTGTAACAATCTTTCCCCTCCAGAAATTTGTGATTTAAGATCTAAGATTTTTCTTTTAAATACATACAATAATAATCTACTCTCTTTTTTTTTATTGTCCCAGGTTGTGATCTGTGATCAATTACTCAGAATCAATAAATATTTAGTCGTTCTCTGTTTCCTTTTCAGTGCCTGACAAAGTCCAGGGAGTCAGTGTGAGCAACTCGGCCAGGAGTGACTATTTAAGGGTCTCCTGGGTGCATGCCACTGGAGACTTTGATCACTATGATGTCACCATTAAAAACAAAGACAACTTCATTCAAACCAAAAGCATTTCCAAGTCAGAAAACGAATGTGTATTTGTTCAGCTCGTCCCTGGACGGCTGTACAGTGTCACTGTTACTACAAAAAGTGGACTATATGAAGCCAGTGAACAAGGGAATGGGAGAACAAGTAAGTGGAACGATTGCAAAATCTGATGGTTGGACTTGGAAGTCTCTGAGCAATTTATCTGAACCTTGAATTTTTTCTACTTTTTGGTTAGTACATTACATTCTCAGTAAGTCTCACTTGGCGCTAACATTCAGCCAAGCCATAGCTTATAATTACAAAATATTTATTGGTAGACAAAAGCAAACATAGTGAGGGGACAAGAAAGCTAAATGTCCCATGTTTCTTCCCTGTCTTCCTGCATCATGGCATTTAAATTCTCAACTTCTTGTTTTATCTTATTATTGAGATCATAACTCATTTTATAATTACATTCTACCAACGCTGATCATAAAACATTTATGTCAGGAAAAAAAAATCACAATTTTAATAGTTGCTTCCAACTTTTCTTGTTTAATTATCCATGAGTAGTGCTAGTGGGTTTTTTGGAGAAGGGAGGTGTTGTCAGTTCCTTGAATGTGATTCATGAATTATCATGTAGGTAAACTCTGATCTGTTCCATTCCTGAAATGTCTTCTCATTTTTCTCTCTAGTTCCAGAGCCTGTTAAGGATCTAACATTGCGGAATAGGAGCACTGAGGATTTGCACGTGACTTGGTCAAGAGCTAATGGGGATGTCGACCAGTATGAGATCCAGCTGCTCTTCAATGACATGAAAGTATTTCCTCCTTTCCACCTTGTAAATACTGCAACCGAGTATCGATTTACTTCCCTAACACCAGGGCGCCAATACAAAATTCTTGTCTTGACGATTAGTGGAGATGTACAGCAGTCAGCCTTCATTGAGGGCTTCACAGGTAATGTGAAATATTGTTATTGAACCTGAATAGATACAGTGGTGTATTTAACTTTTGGGTAGTCCGGGCATTTTGATCGAGGATTCAGAGGGGTAAAAAGGAGATGGCGAGAAGGGGCAAAGTTATCTTGATAGTAACAATGATGTTGTCCAAGCAAGATGAACAGAAATAAAGTATGATGTCATTAGAGAGTGTGGGGTTGGAGGGCGCTTTCAGAGAAATAGCAATGAACTGACATGATTAGCTGGTGCTTGTGAGGCCAACAGATTAAGAATTAAGTGTTACTTGGGTCTCACCTCTTTAGGACTCTATTAGGAATGTTCCTTAGTAGTTAACGTGTACTGACAGTTCACCATGAACCAGACCCACAGCAAAGCACTTTATGTCTGCATCTCGTTTAATCTTCACAATGCTTTGGGAGGCCGAGGCAGGAGGATAGCTTGAGCCCAGGAGTTCAAGCACAGCCTGGGCAACATGACAAAATCCCATCTCTACAAAAAAAATACAAAAAATTAGCCAGGCACGGTGGTGCGTGCCTGTAGACCCAGCTACTGGGAAGGCCTAGGTGGAATGATCACCTAAGCCCAGGAAGTATAGGCTGCAGTGAGCCGTAATCACACCACTGCACTCTAGCCTGGGCAACAGAGTGAGACACTAGCAAAAAAGAAAAAGAAGAAGAGAGAGAGAGAATGGAAGGAGGGAAGGAGGGAGGGAGGGAGGGAAAGGAAGGAAAGGAAGGGAGGAAGGAAAAGAAAGGGAAAGTAAAAAGGGAGGGAGGGAAGGAAGGAAGGGAAGGAAGGAGAAAGAGAAAGAGAGAGAGAAAGAGAAGGAATCTTCAGCTTTAGAACTCTGTGGGTTGGTTACTGTATCATCACTGCTGTTTTTCCTGATGAAGAAACTGAAATTTACAGATGTTACATAATCTGCCTGTAGTCCCTCAGCTAGTGAGTGAGAAAACCAAAACTTGGACCAAGGCACCCTAACCGGCCTCTTGCTGTATAATTAGTATTCTTCATTTCCACTCACCGGCTTGACTTCCCCCTAAGCTTTTCCCCATCAACTTCAGTTCACACAGAAAAATCAGACAAAAGTGGCAAATTGTTACTTTCTTTTTCACGTGAGTTCTTTCACTGGGGGCCAGAACATCAGAAGCATTCAAAACTCTGGTTAAAAATTTCAAATTTCAACAGTTCAATCTCCAAGTGATGACTTTTAAATTTGTTTTCTTTTCTAGTTCCTAGCGCTGTCAAAAATATTCGCATTTCTCCCAATGGAGCCACAGATAGTCTGACGGTGAACTGGACTCCTGGTGGGGGAGATGTCGATTCCTACACGGTGTCAGCATTCAGGCACAGTCAGAAGGTTGACTCTCAGACCGTCCCCAAGCATATCTTTGCGCACACGTTCCACAGACTGGAGGCCGGGGAGGAGTACCAGATCATGATTGCCTCAGTCAGTGGGTCCCTGAAGAATCAGATAAATGTGGTTGGACGGACAGGTGAGCATCCACCTGGAGAAGGGCTAGATTGCAGAATGCCTCTTGGTTCTCCAAAATGGGACTGCGAATGGGCTCAGCTATTCACAAATCAAAATTTAAAACCACCTAAGTTTGTGCAATTCAATGTGGTTTCAAGAGCCTTTCTTATTTTTTTCTTTGCATCTTTCTCTTAAGAGAGATTTTCAAAACAAATGAAAGGGAATCAGAAGTCTAATTATTTGCACACATTTTTATACTTGCTAAAGGACAATAAAATTTTAAATTTTAACAAGCAGGCTGGGCATGGTGGCTCACACCTGTAATCCCAACACCCTGGAAGGCCAAGGCAGGTAGATTGCTTGAGTTCAGGAGTTCTAGACTAGACTGGGCAACATAGCTAAACCCTGTTTGTACTAAAAATACAAAAAATTAGCCTTGCATGGTGGCGCACACCTGTAGTCCCAGCTGCTCAGGAGGCTGAGGTGGGAGAATCACCTGAGCCGGGGAGATCAAGGCTGCAGTGAGCTGTGATCGTGCCACTGCACCCCAGCCTGGGCGATTGGAGTGAGACCCTGTCTTAATAAATAAATATATACATAAATTTTAATAAGGAGACTTCTATAATTATGCATTTTTCAAAAGCTCTACCTTTTAAGAAAGAGTGCACATTTGTGTCATCTACTTCACGCAGCAGAGCTAAAAAAACAAATATCGAATGAATAATATATCTGTTTACATCAATATCACTATTCATGTATTATTTTTGAAAGACAAATAAGCTGCAAGCACCTGCCATATACCAGGCTTTAAAATGATCTCTAGTCACACTCTAGTCCGCTTACAGATGAGGTAAGTACAGCTCAGAAAGCTTATGAAACAGTATCAAGGGTACATATAATAAGACCTAAAGCTATAATTTAAGTCTAGGTCTGTCTGGCCCCAAACCTCATGCCCTCTCCACTGTGACACAATACTTCTTAGATGTCTCCTATTCTCATGACCATTTATTTAGTTGTGGGGCCTGAGACTTCTATACCATGCCCTGCTATGCTTCTATTTCATATCTGTGTTTATACCTATATCTGCATATCTTTAACCCTGTAACAAACCCTGTGTTCGAAAGTGGGCATTCAGTCGCAAGGCAGAGCTGCTGACCTCAAGAAGGAGATAGAAAAGTAAAAAGGCAATGACAGTACAACATGATAAATGCCAAGATAAAAGTGGTTATGGAATGTTAGAGGAGCAAACAAGAAAAGTCAGGGAAGGCTTTCAGGAGGAAATAAAGAAATACTAAGAAGTCATCCAGGTGAAGTGTATAAGTTGACTTGGTTCCAATAGAAAAAACAAAGCCCTGGAGGTGAGAGAAAGGATGGCATATTTGGGGACCTACACCTTATTTAACATAGTAGAATAAAGGCTGGGCAGGGTGGCTCATGCCTGTAATCCCAGCACTTTGAGAGACCGGGTGGGTGGATTGCTTGAGTCCAGGAGCTCGAGACCCGCCTGGGCAATGTGACAAAACCCCATCTCTAGTAAAAGTATAAAAAATGAAAGTATACTAAAATGAAAAATGTGAGCCATGTGGCAGGGTAGGTAGATAGACCAAATCACAAAGAGCTTTGTTTGCCAGTGAAGGTGTTTTAGAATTATGGAGAGCCACTGTAGGGCCATCAGCATGGGAGTGCTATGAAAATATGCTAGACAGAGTGTGCAGATTGATAGAGTAGGAGGTAAGGACGCAAGGGGCAGTTGCAATAATGTAAGGTCCCGTCTATACTTGCTAAAGGATGTGATAGGTCCTGAGGTAGTGGCAGAACACAGAGTGGCTAGATTCAGGAGAGAGAAGATTTAGGATACAGAAATAAAGCTCGTATTTGATTATGTGTACAAGGGTGAGAGTGAGAACTGAAGTTTCTGACTTGAACCAAAAGATAGGAACAGAAGACAATGGGAACACTGCGGGAGCGAGATGAGGAGTCCATTTGGACGTCTTGAGTGTTGGGTGTCTGTGGTACATTCAGGGAAAGATGTAATTTGTAAAAGCAGGAGAAACTTCTGAACTGAAAGTTTAAATTTGGGAGCTGTCTGTCACCTTATGGGTGACACTTCAAACCACGGCCATGGATAAAATCTAAGATTATGTAGAATGAGAAAAGAAATGAACCTAGGACAGAAAATATTATAATAGCAAAGAGTACTATTTTGCTTTCACATGGAGCTATAGTGCACGTACTAGCATATACTACTGCTAAAGTCAAGGCTTGAAGTTTTGACCTTAGTTAATGTTACCAATAAAAGTCCAAACAAGATAATCCAGCTGTCAAACCCACATTCACTGAATATGAACTTGTTCCGCATTCTTCACTTTCTAGATTCATGGGTATGCACCAGTCTGCATATTTATCAGGGTCATTTTCACTAACTTCTGTCTGTTTAACTTTGAGCTCCTATTTAAATTCAGAGAAAAAAATGGAAAATCAAAGTAGTTGTAGAGATAAGTTAAGTCAAAAAAGTCCTTTCTCTTCTTATCTCCATAAGGGCACACAGAAAGTGTCAATGCCACACGAATAAAGCAAATGCATCATCTTCTACCTGCAGTTGATTCAGGAGTTTTTCTCAATTGATTACTTTACCCTAAGTGATAGAACATGTATTTTGTTGCTCCACTTGTCTCTCTGCAGTTCCAGCATCTGTCCAAGGAGTAATTGCAGACAATGCATACAGCAGTCATTCCTTAATAGTAAGTTGGCAAAAAGCTGCCGGTGTGGCAGAAAGGTACGATATCCTGCTTCTAAATGATAACGGAATCCTTCTGCGCAACACGTCAGAGCCAGCCACCACTAAGCAACACAAATTTGAAGATCTAACACCAGGCAAGAAATACAAGATACAGATCCTCACTGTCAGTGGAGGCCTCTTTAGCAAGCAAGCCCAGACTGAAGGCCGAACAGGTAATGAGCACAGCATAATGTTCTGTATCACATATTGCCAGTGTCTACTATTGTGTAAAAACCATAGGGTGAGAGGGATGAAGCAAGATTGGGAGACGATATCTATCTCTTGACATGCTGGGAACATTCACCCTAATTTACCACTTCCATGTGAGTTGCCCTATGCACACAGGATTCAGCCCACCACACTCTGATTCTGATTTTTCATTAATATTGGCGCTGTTAGCTTCCTATTGCTGCTGTAATAAACTGTCACAATCTTAATGGCTTAAAACAACCCAAATTTATTATTTTCTAGTCCTGAAGGTTAGAATCTGAAAATTGTTTTGGGGGGACTGATATCAAGACATCAGGGCTGTGTTTCTTGTAGAGACGTTAGGGGGAGAATCCACTCCTTGCCTTTTTCAGCTTCTGAGGCTGCCCACATTCCTTGGCTTATGTTACCCTCCAACAATGGCATTGCTCCCATCTCTGCCTGTGACTTCACATCTCTTTCTCTGCTCTCCTGCCTCCCTCTCCCATCTTTTAAGGACTCTTGTGATTACCTTGGTCACCACACGGACAATCCAGGATAATTCCTTCATCTCAAGATCCTTAACTTAATCACATCTACAAAGCCCTTTTTGCCACAGAAGGTAACATATTCACAGGTTCTGGGGATTATGACATGGACATCTTTGGGGTCATTATTCAGACAACCACATTGGCCTAATTGATTGATTACTTATTTATTAAGTACGTAGATCAGAAGGCAGGAATGGTTATGCTGACAGGGACAGAAAAATGAATCAGGCATACTTCTCATCCTTTAACGAGGTGACTGACAAGACAGACACATGGACAAGTAATGGCAATTCATTGTGATAAAAAGTACATATAGGAGAGGGATATCCAGCATTCAGGGAAGCATGAAGGTCAGGTGGAATTGGGAGATCTTCATAAAAGTGACATTTCAGTACTGTCATGAAGGATTCTCCATATGGAGAGAAGGTAGAACACGTTGTACAGATAGCCTGTCCTGTGTAAAGCCCAGGAGGTATAAACAGGAGAAAGGAGAAGTTGTGGGTGGCTGAAATGTGTGTTGCATGATGGAAAGGTGAGGCTGAAAGCCCGATTAGAGCCAAAGTAGAGGGTACCTGGTAGTCTTCCTCAGGAGACTTTCTTTATCCTGTAAACAATGCAAATTTTTTAGCCAGACAGTAACTGTTTTAATAAAAAGTTGTACCTTTAGAAAGAGAAATCAAAGCTCATGGGGGAATCATTTGAGTAGAAATGAATCGGAGGTGAGATCCACCTATTAATTCATTTATTATTGAGTAGCTACTATAGGTTAGGCACTGTTCTAACTGCTGGGTATACAGAAGTGAATAAAAAATTTCCCGTGGTCATTTTGCTTATAATCTAGTGAGAAAGAAAGTCAATAAACTAAGTAAAAGATATAGGAGGTTGGCTGGTAATAAAGACTAAGAAGGAAATTAAATCAGGAAAGTAGGATAGCAAGAGTTGGGGCTTGTAATTTTATCTATTTATTATTTTTTATTTTTGGAGACAGAGTCTGGCTCTGGCACCCAAGCTGGAGTGTATTGGCACAATCTCAGTTCCCTGCAACCTCTGCCTCCTGGTCTCAAATGAACCTGCCATCTCAACCTCCGAAGTAGTTGGGACTTCAGGCATGAACCACCATGCCCAGCTAATTTTCGTATTTTCTTGCAGAGACAGGGTTTCTCCATGTTGCCTAGGCTGGTCTCACACTCCTAGGCTCAAGAGATCCACCTGCCTCAGCCTCCCAAAGTGTTGGAATTACAGGTGTGAGCCACCACACCTGGTCAAGGGGCTTACATTTTTTTTCGTTTTTTGAGACAGAGTCTCCCTCTGTTGCCCAAGCTGGAGTGCAGTGGTGCAATCTCGGCTCACCACAACTTCTACCTCCTGGAATCAAGCAATTCTCCTGCCTCAGCCTCCCGAGTAGAGTAGCGGGGACTACAGGTGCGCACCACCACATCTGGCTAATTTTTGTATTTTTAGTAGAGACGGGGTTTCACTATGTTGGCCAAGCTGGTCTTGAACTCCTGACCTCAGATGACCCGCCCTTCTCAGCCTCCCTGTGTTGAGATTATAGGCATGAGCCGCCATGCCCAGCCAGGGCTTACAATTTTAGATAGCACAGTCCCCAAAGACTTCATTGAGGCAGTGACATTTGAGTTTAAATCTGAAACAAATGAGAAAGTCATGCAAATATTTGCATATTTCTAAGTGGAACTAATGGCAAGGCAAAGACCCAGAGTGGGTGTGTGTCTGACCTGCTAGAGGAACAGTAAAGAGGCCCATATGGCTGGAACAGAGTGAGCGAGAATGAGAGTAGGGGATGCAGCTAAACAGGTATGGGGGTCATGATGTGACTGCAGTCACAGGATGATAAGGACCAATAGCTGAATGAATGCAGGGGCCCTGGTGAAGAATAGTGGATATAGTAAGAAATATTTTTGCATTGGCTGAGGTGGCACTTAGGGGCTGAGTAGATTATAGAAAAAGGAAGAGAAGATTCCAGAGTTTCTACCTGGGATGTCCGGTAGAAGAGGATGCCATTAATTGAGATAAAAGAAGCAGGAGGAGAGAGGGCAAGCAAAAACCCAGAGTCCAGTTGTGTATTGAGTTTGAGATATCTGAATGACTTGCAGAGAGAAGGGGCCACAGGCATTTGGAAATACGGACTTGAGTTCAGAAGAGAAGTGAGCTGGACATAAGAAGATCTGGACCAGAATGCTAGTTAAAGCCATAAATTGAATGAGACTGATTGCTCAGCTAGTGCTGTAGAATATGAAGGAAGGAAAGGATGCATCCATGGGAAATAACAACTTGTAAGGGCCTGGCAAAAGGAGAGGAGAAAGCAAAGAGAGCCTGAGAAAGAGCATTTGGGGTGGAAGAAGAGAACTCATGTGAAATCAAGACAGATGTCCTGTTCTGTTTCTACTGGCATCTTAAGCCTTCTGAGGAATCGGGCAGCATCTGTGCCAGCAGTTTGCAAGGAGGCAGTTTCTAGCAGCACTTGACCTTGCCAAGAGGTAGCACGGAAGTCCAAAAGGGGCTGCAAAATTCTAACATGAAGCTTTTTGTAAAATGCTTTTGGCTTTTCCTATTGTTTCTGTTTCCAACAGAATACAACTCCCTCTTTCTGTTTGCTTTTCCCTTTCTTTCCCACCTGCTCTCTTCTCCTCACTGCATTTCCCTCCCTCATTCTCTTGCTCCTCGCCTTTTCCAGTCCCAGCAGCTGTCACGGACCTGAGGATCACAGAGAACTCCACCAGGCACCTGTCCTTCCGCTGGACCGCCTCAGAGGGGGAGCTCAGCTGGTACAACATCTTTTTGTACAACCCAGATGGGAATCTCCAGGAGAGAGCGCAAGTTGACCCGCAAGTCCAGAGCTTCTCTTTCCAGAACTTGCTACAAGGCAGAATGTACAAAATGGTGATTGTAACTCACAGCGGGGAGCTGTCTAATGAGTCTTTCATATTTGGTAGAACAGGTAAGACCAAGAGCCATCCAGTAATGGATAGCGGGGGAATTGTCTGGGTATTCACTGGCTTTTCCTTGGTTGGTCTGTAGATTCCTATTCTATTCAGGATGTGGCTTTATATGCAATTTGTGACTTTCAGGCTGTTTGACACTAAACCACACCTTTGATTATGTGTGAATAATTTGTGGCCAGTTTTTGCAATGGCTTCTGCTGTTTTGCCTCCACTTGTTTACTTCCTAGGGTTTGATAAAAAATGAATGCAGTTCCTCCTCTTGCCATCAAACTGACAAGAGGGTTGTGACCCATTGTAGTTTAATTCAAGCTTTCTAACAAGAAATAGATGGAGAGGAGACCAGCACTAGAGAAGGGCAAACACAAATTCCACAAACAGGCAGTGACTGCTGTGAACTGGAAACAGCATGAGATGAAATGAAAACACGGAGTTCCAGGAAAGTGAGAGATGTCTCTCTGGGCTGCAAATAAGAGACAGAATTGGCCGGGCGTGGTGGCTCACGCCTGTAATCCCAGCACTTTGGGAGGCCGAGGCGGGTGGATCACGAGGTCAAGAGATCGAGACCATCCTGGTCAACATGGTGAAACCCCGTCTCTACCAAAAATACAAAAAATTAGCTGGGCATGGTGGCACGTGCCTGTAATCCCAGCTACTCAGGAGGCTGAGGCTGGAGAATTGCCTGAACCCAGGAGGCGGAGGTTGCGGTGAGCCAAGAT